TCCAAAGGTGCATCTTCGAACATGTCATCCGGTTTTGAACCTTCACCTACATTATACATATTATCAGATATATCATGAAAAATTTCAGTTTGTATGTTCGAATCATTAGGAATAATTCAATTTTGCTCCCCCTCGACAATAGGATTAGACGAATGATGCTCCCATTCGACAGTTGTATTCGAAATATGATGCTCCCTAGGGATGAGCATAGGCGGGTACCCGCCTCATTTGGCGAGAACTGGAACCGGAACGGGAACCGGCGGTTCCTAGAAAGTTAGAACCGGAACCGGAACCGCTCTAGGCAGTTCTTAAATGTTTGGAACCAGTCCCAGAACCGGCGGTTCCGGTTCCGGGAGCGGGTAACCCGGTTACATTAATTTTCTTTACTTTTGTCGATAAAACCACAATTTAGTTCGATCCAAATCAAGTTAATTTGGACCAAAGACGGACAAAATCGGACCAATATATTCTAAACCGGTCTAAATAACACACATATTTATATGAAATTATATATATATATATATATATATATATATATATATATATATATATATATATATATATATATATATATATATATATATATATATAAACCGGTTCCGGCGGGTACCCAGCGGGCAGCGGTTCCGAAAAAACGAGAACCGAAACCGGAACCGCTTAAGGCGGTTCCATAACTTTAGGAACCGGAACCGGAACCGCTTAAGGCGGTTCCAGCTCCAAAATCGGCAATTCCGAGGCGGTTCCGGTTCCAAAAGCGGGTACCCGGTTCCGATGCTCATCCCTAATGCTCCCCCTCAACATCAGTACTCAAATTTCCATGCACCCCCTCAACATTAGTAGTTGAATTCAAGTGCTCCACCTCAACTTGACATGGAGTATTGGAGGTTGAAAAAACATCATCATTTTCCTGAGTTAAAGTCGAATTATTAGAATGTTTCGAGGCTTCAGAAATCTGATTATCCTCAGCATGAATCTCTACATCTATTGCCCTGTCAGGAACACCAAAAATTAAGTCATAATCAAAATCGAAAGAAGTATTAATTTCTGACTCAATATTTGTTTATGAAATTATAGGCTTTTGATCAAATAGCTTTTCGATTTTTTTCACATGATAGTCATCAAAAGTAAGATTAAAAGTTTCTTCAATCTTCCTAGTTCGTTTATTCAACACTCTATATGCCACCGAATTATGTGAATATTCCAAGAATATCCCTTCATCAGCTTTAGACTGAAATTTCGAAAGATTATCTTTGAGATTCATTATAAAGCACCTGCAACCAAAAACATGGAAAAATTTCACATTCGGTTTTTGATTATTGATAATCTCATATGGAGTAATGTTAAAACGTCGATGAATGAAAGATCGATTTTGTGTGAACCAAGCTGTTGAAACGGCTTCTACCCAAAGATATCGAGGTAGATTCGTATAGGTGAGCATAGTCCTCGCTGCTTCGCAAAGAGATCGTTTTCTCCTTTCGACAACACCATTTTGTTGTGGTGTGTAAGGAGATGAAAACTTATGCGAAATTCCTATGGCAGTTAGAAACAAATCCAAAACTTTATTCTTGAATTCAGAACCATTATCACTTTCGATCTTTCTGACTTTCTTCCTCAAACTGAGTTCAATATGCTTTATGAAGTCGATCATTACTTGTGTTGTCTCAGACTTTTGTTGAAGAAAGAAAACCCAAGTAAACCTTGAAAAGTCATCGACAATGACCAATATGTACCTCTTCTTGTTGAGAGTTTGAACAGTCGAAGGGTCACAAAGATCAATGTGAAGAAGTTCCAATGGTTCAATGATCTTCGAATCAATGGTTATTGGATGAGCCTGTCGATGTTGCTTGCCCTGTTCACATGCTGCACATAACAAACCTTTATCAAATTTTAAAATAGGTAAGCCTCGAACAAGATCATTTACCACCAATCTGTTGATATTTTTGAAATTCAGATAAGACAATCTTCTATGCCACAACCAGCTAAGATCAGTTGACGCCTTTGAAAGTAGACATATAGAGGGAACACCAACAATCAGTTTGATATCAAGGGTGAACATATCGCCTTTACTTTTTGAATTGAGCAAAACTTCTTTGGTTTCTTTATTCGAAATGACACTTCCTTCTTCATCGAAGACTAGTTGATTGTCAGTGCCCACAACAAGTTGTTAGACACTTATCAAGTTGTGTTGAAGACCTTCGACATATGCCACTCGATTAACCATGAACTTTCCATTCGTTACTTTGACATATCCTTTAACTTTGCATTTATTGTTATTTCCAAACTTCACTACACCAGCATTTTCCAAGCTTCGATAATCATGCAAATTTTCCTTTCGACCTGTCATGTGACAAGAGCAACCACTATCGATGTACCAATGTTCATCGTACTACTCGTCACTCAACTCATGCAATCAATTAAAGAATTTAGGTCCCTAAGGCTTTTTGGGTCCTTGGTTATTAGAGTTGAATGCATTATGAAATGATGATCCTAAAACCCAATTACAAACTTTAGATTTCAATATATCAATTAAGTCAACTTCCACAGACTTAGGTATCGAAATGAATTCATTCAATGCTTTAGAGTCGACGACTTTCCCTTAGCCATCGAGGGTTCTTGTGACTCAACTTTCGCATTTGGAACAACTTTCCACTTTTGAACAGAGGGATTCGATTCTATTGACGAAGAGCTACCAGTTTGAGATTCATTTAAGTAGCTTTCGTAAGCATATCAGATTTCCTCTTGAGAAAACTTCCCAGATTGATAAGGCTTTCCTTTGCCTTCGAGCTAATGATTAATATTCTTCACATCAGATTTCCCTTTGGCAAACGAAGCTTTAAATTGTTGCTTCGAAACAGGGTTGGAAAATTGTGGTTGAGTGGGTTTGAATGGTTCATTTCTTTTTCCATTGACTTCCAGCTTAACGAAGTGTCGTTTTGAAAACGTTGATTTCGCATGTGGCTGATAACGGTTTTGAAAAAGTTTATTATAATCGACATTTGTTCGATTAAAAACTTGTTGTCCATTTGAAAATCTTCTTTGATTTTGACCTTGATGAAAAACTCTTTGTTTATTTTGATGAAAATCATTTCATTGAAAATTGTTTTGTAAAAATCTTGCATTTTGTTGATTAGAAAACAAAATTCCTTTGTTGTTGATTTTTAACAAAATTCTCATTTCTTTGTATTGGAATATATGGTTTTTGACTTGGTGTTTGAACTTTGGAATGACTTTTTGATAAATCTTGTCGTGTTTGAGTGGGTATGTTCTGAACAAAAGACTTATTTTGAGAAGAAGTTTTAGCTTGTGCAGTCTTTTTCTGTTCATATGATTTTGTTAACAAAACTTTTTGTTTCTTATGAGACTCAACTTCTTGCCAATAAACTTTTTTCCTTGCTTTAGTCTTCGAAATACCTTCATCTTTTGAAATCTTTTGAATTTGTTCATAAAACATTTGAGCTTTTGTGTTTTGAGAAACTGATTCATTTGAAGATTTGTCATCATTTACTTTATCTTTCTTAACTTCCCAAACTCTTTTTGGTTTTTGCCTTTGAAAAGTTGATGAGTTTTTGTTAAGATTGTTTTCGACAGTACTTTGAGTTGAGAATAATCCTTCTTTCGAAACTGCTTTGTTGTCCTCAACAACAATTTTGTTGATCTTCGATTTAACATTGTCACCATTTCCTGAGGTAACAAACACTTGATTTGGAAAGACAACATCATCTGTGCATTTGAATTTGGGATAAACAATAGAGTTCGATTCGAGATAATGAGGACCTTTTTCCTTCATCACCTTGTCGAATTTCTCTGTTTCCTCATACACCTGATCAATAACCACTCTGGGAATTGTTTTTGCATTCGAAACTACTTCATCATCATCATTATCGGTTTGACTATCTTCGACAGTCACATGATCAATGTCACGAACTTTCGACGTTGAGGGTTGGTGAGAGTCAACTTTAACCAAAGAATCATCAAAAATCTCTTTACCCTTTGGCCATTGAAGTGACATTAATGACAGAAAGCTGAGAACAATCAACAACTTCCTCCTCCTCAATTTCACTGATATTTTCAAAATCATCTTCGATATTAGCAAAAAAAATTGAGAGTCAGATGTCGAATGCTCAGTCTTTTGCAAAATTTTCATTTGTTCGTTTTTGGTCAAGGTCTTATTCACAATATTAACCAGATCATTTGCATCTAAACATTCATCCATCTTAACAATACCATATGCATATGAGTCATTCGGGACCTTGTCAAACTCAGAAATCTTTTTCTCACACTACTAGAAAAACAGCCTTTTACGACGCACAATGCGTGTCGTAAAACACTAAGACGACGCCCAAATGCGCGTCAAGGAAGACCCTGTCATAACGAGAGACGACAAGCATTTGTGCGTCGTCTATAGACGACGCGCATTTATGACACGCAATGCGTATCATTAAAACCCATGTCAAGAAAGGCTATGTCATAAATGAAGATGACACACATTTTTGCGTATCGTAAATTTAAATGTTTAAAAAAAATATTTATATATTTATTATTTTTTAAATTAAATTTGCATTTAATGTCTCATAATAGAAATAAAATACCATATACAAAAAATACAATCCATTGCATAAATTTAATGTCATACAATTCTATTTCTTACAAAAAATACAATCACTGCTATAGGTATTTCCCACATCTAGTATTCTGTTAAGACCATTGTTGCTTAGCACCCTGTGAATATATATATATATATAATAAGTTGATGTTCTATTGTTTGCAATGATTACAATTGCATATGCAGATTGAATTGAGTAGAAAGCATTCAGTTGATACTCACAATTTCTCCAACTGAGGTTGGAAGAGAGTTGATGGGATTTCTCCTTGAAGTTGAATCTGTTAGTAGAAGATTAAGGATGCTTAATGATAAATTCCTCAATATTTTACAAACACACAGATTGAGGAAACTAGAAACTAGAAGATGATGATTTATGAAGTTTAAACTTTAAATTAACTTACACATAAAAGAGGGAGACCATTCCGATGAGATTTGGAACAGGTCCACTCAGTTTGTTGTTCGGCAAGTATCTAAAAATGAATAAATCTCAACCACCAAATAAAACTATTATACAAAACAAAAACATTGATCGACTTCTATTATCACTTACAGCTTACTAACACTTTTGAGATTCGTGATGTTTTGAGGCACTATCCCATCCAAGGAATTTGAGTCCAGGCGTCTGTGAAATAAAGGAGGGAAAGAGTAAATAAATTGAATATTTTCAGATCTAACTATAATGTTCAAGGATTATTAATTAATGATACTTACACTGCCTGAAGAGTACTCACAAGTCCTATCGAGGAAGGAATATTTCCAGATAATTTATTGTTGTTGAATATCTGATCTGATATTTGTTAACCAATTACACCAGGTAATCTGATACTTACACATGTATTAGAGTCATATCTGATCTGAACAGTTCAGATCGAATGTCACCAGATAACTGATTATCTGCTAAATGGCTGCAAAATTGTCATAAGATTAAGATAACACGGGTGAGAAAAATCACTCTAAAAGCTTAATAACTGACAATGTACATAAGATACAAAACTTACAAGTGTTTTGCATTCTTTAACCTGTCACGACCAGGGGCTTTTTCAATAGACACAGGAATGGGTCCAACCATGCATGAAAGATTGGATAAATTACCATTTAAATTTAGCTGAGAGAAACTGCAAAAAAATAATAAATAATTTTTTCTCAAAATATTATATATTACCCGTGAAGACCAGGGGTAGATGGGTGGTATACATTTGTTAAGCCTAATTTTCTAGCAGCTGAAGCAGTGGTTTCACCAATGCATGCAACATAACCCTCCCATGCCTGTGGTTCAGGTAGAAGATCCACCCAAGCACTGTTGTAGAATAAGAGAAAATATAAGCTGAAATACAAAGAAAATAGTAAGAGAATTTAGCATCAGAATATTAATTACCCAACTGCAGAAGGTGATGCAACTGCAACTACAGAAGCAGAGAGTGTTTGTTGTAGAATGGTTTGATCCACATGTTGTACAGGTTCCTAAAGTACAACAAACCAAAAATAATGTAACAGAAATTCCCTTGATATTAATAAGAATGTGAAATGCCACAACAAAAATTTGTCAGAACTAAAATACATACCGTTGTGTAAGTATTCAATCTTGTGATGTGGAATCCACGCTTAGAAAGACCTTCCTCTGTTTGATTTTAGTACATATATGACCTCATGAGATAGTGAAAATGTCATATGTATAAACAGATATAATTATGAAGATGAAATGTTATGGAAGAGAAATAAACTAAGGTGTTAAAGGGTGTACCTATATCACTTGTTGAAAATGTCATATCTCAATAAATCTTAAAACCATCAATTTCCAACACTAGAAACTAAAAGTACCTGAAAGACAATTGTTTGTACAATTGAAAATATATTTTTTGCTTATGAAATGTGTAACAAAAAAATACATACTTTTTGGCTTGACCAGCCTCAGTAAGCTCAAAAAAACTCCATTACAACACGACCTTCTACAGAGCTAAGTGCATAACCTACAAACATCATCTTTCATCAATTAGGGTTTAGGGTTTTTTTAAGACTTAGGTTTTGAAATTATGTCAAAATACCTGTGCCATTAGGATAACATTGAACACATCTAGTTTGATATTTCAATGAAGACTCTCTTCTTTGTTCAGGTTGAGACATATTCCTCAAATCATACACATTAACATGTCTTCCAGCAGTTGCCACCACTACACGGTTTCCAACAAGTGATATAGAATAAACTCTCTCCGGTTGTCCATATGTCCCCACAAGAGCACGCTCCTGTGCACCTCCACCATGTGGGTCCCAACACTTCAAAGTTTTTTGTCCCAACTCCCTGTAATCACTTGCCCTAAAAGCCACCAACAAGAAAAAGAATTGAAAACACAATTACGTAATAGAAGGAAATGAAAGTATGAATGTATGATGATATTAACAAAATGAAAACAAATGATGAAATGAATGACACTAACCTGTTGCATAAGAGTACTCGACACAGCGAACAGGGGCATCATGGCATCCCAAAAGATCCTCCCTTCCGTGGTCAAAAACAAGCCTGAGAGATGTAAAAGGAATGTAGCTTGAAACTTAGTCAAGAAAAAGATAAGTCAATAATCCAAGAAAGTATATGCATCATTTAGTCATACCTTGTGACAGTGTTATCTGCACTAGCACTGAAACCAGAGGTATCATCATGAAAGCAGCAATCAAGAACTGCACCTCCATGAAGGAACTCTCCTCTAAACACATTGGCACTTGCATCATATAAGCGAACACGCTGTTACAAACAAATAACAGGTTATGATCTTTATTGTTATGAGTTTGATATGAATTAAGCTTCTCTTCATGTCTTAACTACTACATAACCTTCAATCCATCCTTACTTGTATACATCTAAGCATGTTTTACTTCAGTTTTGTTTTCTAAAGTGTGTTGGATTGTTCAGGCTGTGATAGTCTAATGTAGCAGTTTTGGTTAGATCATTTTGTCAACTGTGATCTACTAATTTGAATTGTGATCTTTTTTCTCTTTCTAAGTTGATTGCTTGTTTGTTGTATCCGACCTCAATCCTATCCAGATTAGATGAATTCAAAAACATACAAGCACATGTTTGCATATCCTTTTGCCAGAAAGAATAAACATAGCATTTCAACAGGGGTGTGTCTTCTTGTCAGTTTGGGTGAGCACCTGCTTCTCAAGCTCCTTAACCCTCATCTCTGCATCCTGACAACTTTCTTCAGCAAACCTGAGCTGCACAATATAAATTCAACAATGAAGACCAGATATATATAAACAAAGAATATCATTATTAGAAGCCACCTTCTCAAGGACATTGTCATTCTCTTCTTGTAGCATATCAAGCTGCATGAAATAGCACAATTTAACGAATTGTACATCACTTAAGCTAAAACTGAAATTGAAGGGAACAAGAAACGTAAAAATTTCCCAGATGGTGGCAGATGAAACACTGAGGAGAGAAATAGGCGATCAAGGAGTCACAGATGAAAACAAGATGAAAGATGGAAACCTAGGAGAAATTGATAAATTGTTTGATGTTTTGAGAGAGAGAGAGAGAGAGCAATGGAGAAATTGATCTCGAACCAGATGTGTGAAAAAAAAACCCTAGAATTGCGATTTTCTTGAAATGTTACCTTGTGTTCGACTTGAGAAGCATCGGAAGGTGAGATAAATTAAGTACAATCAGAGGGAAAGTTAATTAAATACAACATACCTGGATTCGATCCCTATAATAATTGGCTCCACAAATGATTTTAGAGAGACGTATATGAAATTGAAAGCAAAAAGTGAATTTGTGTCTAATCTGAACCCCTCCTTTTGCCTTTTCGATTTCATCTCCAGCTACTACTCCCTTTCCTTCTATATTTGTCACTTTATCTCTTTTCTTTATCTTCCAACTCTCTCTCCTCTTCTGTTTCTCTCTTCTAGAACTCCTTCTTTCGCTGCTCCACCGGTATCGATGCCTCCGGTTGCTTTTGTGACGCCTCGTGGTAGATTCATCGTCACTTTTTTTAAGAAGAGATCAAAGCCGAAGACGATGGAGATAAAGAGGCAGAATCTTAGGCATGCCTTAGTTCACATGGTGAATCGTGACCTAGAGGAGAGAGCAGAGAGGTAAAGGAAGGAGGGTACTTCAAAATTTTGGGAAATTTGGTTTTCCCCTTACCTATATCAAAGAGGAGGGACGCGCGTATTAAAAATTATAAAACGAAATTTCTATACGACGCCCATTTAATTTAGGTGCCTTCCGTGTTTTTAATTTTCTTTTTTTCGGACACTAATTTTAGGGCACGCAAAAATGCGCGTCCTAAATTCTTTAAATTTCTAAAGATCTGACATTATTTTTAGGGCACGCCCTTTTGCGTATCATTAATCAGTGCGTGTCGTAAAAAGCGTGTCATTGAAGGTCTGTTTTCTAGTAGTGTCACAGTCATAGGTAGTTGAATCTATCTTTTCCCTTTCGAAAGTCAAGAAAGGTAAAAGTTTCCTATGTTGTTCTTTGCTTATATCCGATGATGATTTAATGAAGTCAACTTAGCATATAGTCTTTTAGCTGAATTGAAATATATGTTTCTTTGTTAAGCAGATTACAATTATCTATTCTCAACCCATCCCTATCACAAATAACATTTTTAAGTTCTAATTCCTAATGATCTACTCTACTGCGCTTCGACTCCACTCTTTTCTGAGATTTTAGTAGTAAAGATTTTAATTTTTCAGCATCACTACTAACAGAAATAAGCATGTCATTAAAGCAAGATAGAGTATAATCGAAGTCAGACAAGATAGCATCATATGAACTAAAAGGAATTTCAAAGGATTCAAGAAGAGCACATATCTTCGAAGTCATTGGAGACTTGTCGGCACCAGTAGTAACGAAGCATTTTCCAGTCACCTTCTCTTCTTCCTCAATTTCCTCCTCATACTCAGCAAACATAGCTCCGTGTGTGGGGTTTCGCATCTCCTCATCATCTAATCCAGATGACCAGATTTGATATATTCCATCCCCTTCGCTATTACCTCATGCTACCAAAGACATCCCTTTCGTCTTAGCTCTGACTTCTTATAGCCTCTCAGTATAATACACTTCATCCTTCACTCTTTCTTTCTTCTCTTCTCTCTTCCTCAACATGTAATCACTTGCCATATGGTTTGCACCATTACAGTAATGGCAATCGAAACCAGAGTCCCCTTTCAGCTTTTTCTCTCGCTTCTCAACTTCAGGCTTGTTATCCTTTATTTCCACCTTTGTCTCCTCTCTCATTCTCTTCGAATTTGATGAGTTTCCCTTAAAATCAGTTTTTCCTTTGAACTTCGAATTGAATGGCTTCTTGAAAAATTTCTTCACTTTGTTGTTTGAGTAAAAAGCCAGTGCTTCGTCATCAGAATTAACAATCAGTCCTTCATCTTCGATTCCATCATTCTCACTTATTCGACTTCAGCTTCTCTAGTTGTCACCTTCGACATTAGTGCTAGAGGACCACCCAAACTCATTTTTGTTTCTTCAGCAATTTCATTGATCTCGATTTCATGAGCCTTAAAAACATTGTAGAGATCACCAAGATAAAAGTTAACAAAACTTTGTTGTGTCTTAATCATCAGATTGATATTACGCCACTCTTTACGAAGCCCCATCAGAAAAGTCAAGTTTAATTCAAGAGTTGTACGATTGACTCCATATCGAATGCATTTAAAGATTAATTCATTCAAACAATCATAGTAGAGTTCAATATTTTCACCTTCCTTCTGTTTGAATTCTCCTAATTCAATTAGACACTGCTTAACAGAACTTTTCTTCATTTTCTCGCTCTCTTGATATTTATCTTTCAAAGTATCCCAAATCTCGTTAGCTGTTTTGCATCCACGAACATAGTTGTACAGCACATGTGGAAGAGCTCCATGTAGTTCACGCATACAACGTTTTTCATTTGATTTGTATTTTTTAGTTTGAGTAGCTACATTAGCAGATAAACCAGCATTTCCGATTTCAGTAAGCATCGAAGGACAAAAGTTTCAACTCTTGATACACCGTCATATATCTTCATCAATCCCAGTCAAATAATCTTCCATCCTATCAGTCCATTGATCATAGTACTCAGGGATCAACATAGGAATTTTGGTTAAAGAACCAAGGAGGTGAGAAAATCCAATCATCATATTCATGTTGAAGTTCGCCATTAACATACATATAGATTTGATGAAAAGCTTCAGAAAGAAGAATTTAAGGGATTAGTCTTCCAGAAATCAATCACGGAACACTCGATTTAACAAACTAAAAGCAGAATCGAAAGAGATGATCCGAAATGATTTTTAGAATCAAAAGTGCAAAATGTTTTGAATCTAAGACGAGATTCAAAAACTTTTGAGAACTCGAGAAAATCATAAATTAATTGTAATAATCCTGCTTTGATACCAAATGTAGTTGTTAAAGATCGAGTATTTGAAATGAAATCAAAGTTTAGATTGAATCATGAACACAATGAGTAAATAAGATCTGGATGGCTCAATAATACTTCTTAAGGTTACAAAGAACGAATAGACTAAGAACACAAGAATGCTCAAAAGTTACTCTAACTCTAGAATCTATCCCTATTAATAGGACATAAAGGCTAAAACTATTAAGCTTCGACATACAAATGTGACTTTATGAAATACATAAAACATAAGCTGAAATACAGACTTCGACACTAAGAAAGACTCAACGCCCTTCGGCACCTCACAACATAATTCGACACCAACACCTGGTCTCCTTTGTTGATATCCAATTCGATCCAAAATAGCATAATATTCCACATCATATGCTCATGTCTAGTAACAAATTCAAGATTCTTAATCGCAAGCTCAATTCATTACTACAGCTTCAGGATGACTCTGGCAGTCGAAATGTTATGTCTGGGATTGAAATCGATGTTTTGATCAAATCTCGAGAACAACGTTTGAAGACAGTAATGGAACAGATTGAAACAAAAAATGAAGCGCGTTTGAAACATCAATCTGAGTCTTTTCATCATGAGTTCAAGGATCTGAGAGCTGTTGCCAATGAACGACATATTCTCTTTGTCGAAGCAGTTAAGAAAGTGAAGGAGGATGTCAATTTTAAAGTTGAAGATATTCATAATGATCTGACTAACGAGGTGCTTAAACTTGATCAGAATTATTCCAATCTTCATATGAAGGTTGATATAATTGCTGATGCTGTCAAGAAGGTTATTGAGTTTTACAATTCCCTTATCACCAAGTTTGATACGAAGTGAGAGGATGATTCTAAAATTTTTGCCAAGCTGGAAGACTTATTGGGGAGTTTGAAGGAATCCTGGTCCAAGTTTAACGTCTCTTCTTCATCTTCACATTCACAAGAGTCTTTTTCGAAGCTATTTTCTTCCTTTAAAACCAGTATTAAGGCTGAAATTGCTCCTTTATTACGATTGGTGGATTTGATGCCAACCAATGCCCCACGTGTGTCTCATGTGGTGTAAGGAGAAGAAAAGGGAGTTGGCATAGGCTCTTCGAAAGTTGCTAGTTCTGGTTCGTCAAAAGATTTTGATGGTGAAAAAGTTGTTGGGAAAGTATTTAGTACTCAAATTCCAACTTCGCTTCCTACTTCGTTGTCAACAACCTCAACTACCATGACTTCAAGATGTTTAACCAAGGGTATTGTCATTGGTTAATCTGGTGGAGGTTCGAGTTCAAAAGCACGAATTTCAAAAGAATACAAAGGTGATAAAGGGAAAGGGATTGAGACTTCTAAAGAAGAAAAGAAGAAAGCTCAAGAGGCTGAAATCTAATGGCAATGGAAAATCCATAGCATCATTCGTCAAAGGCAAAATAATCCTGCAGGGCTTGGGAAAGGTGATCCAACATCCATTTTGTTACGAAACTATTTTAGATATAATTTTCAATGGCTTAATGCATGATTTCGAGAAAGTTCCTAAAAAGAGATATGATATAGAAAATACTGATTTCAGTCAGTTGGATTTTTCTGTCAATGAGATGATGTGTATCTCAGCTCAAATTGTTGATAAATTCGAAGACAAGGAGGAATATAAAAGGTTGAAGTTAAGATTTCATTCAGTACTTGGAAAAAAGAGAATAAGACATCTGGTCTTTAGTGAAGATTGTGAAATTTCTCACCATTTCAAAAGATGTTTTGTTTGAAGGGTTGTTTTAGAACTATCGATTTTATGTGGTCAGAGCCAACAACGTAGCATGTGATTTCTCAGTGGCTGATTTTCCATTAATGAACATGAATGAACTCATCAATGTTGCAAGGATTTTAAGCTCTGTGGATGCATCGAAATTACAAATTAATAACAAGGAATATTTCTTGATTGGATTTGCTCATATCAAGT